ACACACACACACAACAACAACAACAACAACAAACAAAATAAAAAACAAAACAAAAACTGTGGCAACCAGGGTAGTAGCAACCCGTACTGCACTCTGCACATGTGCTTGCTGCACGCGGGTGCACATGCGTCACGGAGCCTGGCACTCCGTCTGGCACACCGCACTGGTGTGCCGCAGGTATTATAATGATATCAGGGGCTACCCCATTCGAACCACCAAAACGAATAGCTGGGCAAATGTATTAGCCGCCACTTTCAGTGTTCAGGGCTACGGAGCAAAATCGCTGCTGCAGCCAGCCAAAAAGAAACAAATTAACAAAATCACACCCACATTGGTTCCTTTTTTTTTTGCGCACACAGCACGATTCGGGTCAGGAGTAACATCCTTCGATGTGGTGGTGGTGGCAGTTTAAAAGGGAGATAAAGAAAAGGTAAAGCTGTCTGCTCCGCGTCTAGAACCCTTGCGCTGTGTACTGACACTGGAACTGGAGTGGCAGCGCTTCGCGCCTTGTGGGTTCGAGTCCCGCTAGCCGCACACAGCGGTGATTCAAGAGTCAAGGCAGGTGTATTCAAGCTACCTTTCCTGCAGTTGTGTGTTAGGATGGCCAGGGTACTTGCTCACCTCTCCTGAAAATGAAGCGCTGCTTGACTGCTTTTCTGCAGCATGCAGAAGAGCTTGCTCAAACTCCCTTTGAAACACTGAAGTGGTAGAGTTGACAGTGCCTGACCAGCTGAACTTCATTGTGCCATCACAGAGGGCACTTTGTGGTGGATCCGCAGATTCAGTCGCATCTCTGCTTGTCATGGGAGGGAGGATCGACTGGGGCCGTGGTGGAACCTCATTTTCAAGCCGGCAGACGCCAAGGTAATCATCACAGACCTTTCCGGACGAACAGCTAGAGGGAAAACATGTGTTCTGCAAAATGACAACCAAAAACCATAAGAGGCTGACAGATCAGTGCTCCAGAAGGTCAATATGGGCTAAGAAGCAGAAACAGGAGATCCATCAACATGCACCAGAGAAGGTCAATATGGGCTAAGAAGCTCGTCAATATCGAGATACAGAATGTCTCAGCGCAGAATCAATGTCACCAAAAGCGTACATGGAACCATACTTGTCATCAAAGTATCTCAATGTCTCGTAACCAGAGAAGAAGCTGAGGAGAGGGAGATGAGGGGGTGGAGGAGAGAGTATCCATCATCACTTAGACAGAGCTCCTTCACAAGCCCACTTCCTCTTCGGGCACCTCCCCACTCGCCACGTCAGCAAACAGTCTCCCCTGACAAGATCTGACAGTAAGCAGATTCCAGCACGGCGCCCATCCCCCAGCCACGTCAGCAATCAGCCTGGGAGGATGTCGCAGACTTCTCTCTCAAGACGTACAGCAAAGCGCAATGTCGACAGGATCGCAATCAGGTAAGCTTCCCTCCCTCAATTAGCCATGCTTCCCTTCCTCAATTAACCATTCTCACAGCCCCGATCCTCCTCCTCCTCGCCCATACCCCATCAATGTCGTCATCAGTGTGGCAAGAGCCACGTCAACATAAACAAGAGCACAGCTGGCGCCATAGTCAGCGAATGTCGCCAGCATAAAGCTATGGCAGTCCTGCGTTGTCGCGCCAGTGTCAAGCCAGCGTCGGGCCAGCATAGAGCCAGCGTAGTGCCAGCGTCCAGCCAGCGTCAAGCAGCAAGTGCAAGACTGCATGTCGTCCAGCAGGGCTGGGTCAACCTTATAGTGTTGACTCGTGTTGACCAGCCTCTGGTCTCTCGGATACGATGGCCTAGATCGTTTGTTAGCCAGTTGCAGAGTTCCACTTGGTCTTGATTCCTTCCGGATACCTGCAGACAACCAAAGGTATGTGTCTGATCTACGGCAGAGTCTACATTCATGTTGACTTTGGCTCGTGGGCCTGAATTCACGCGTTGAGGTTGACTGTTGACTTTCCCAAGGTCAACTGTCTCACGTTGGGCCTCTGAAGGCCAGTTCTGGCCTTGCCTACGGTGATTTGAGCAGACCTCTGAACCCCGTTTCGGGCCTTTGACCAAAAGTGACGACCCACAGCCCACGGTTGGTGCATATTTGAGCTGAGTTATTGCAAACATATTTGTTTGCAATTGAAGCCTCCATCCAATCCCACTCCCAAGGGGGATGGTCATACAGTCAAGAAGAAGGACACAAAAAAGGGTTAACTACAAGCCTACTAGTTCCCTTTTAGGCTTATAATTAACAAAAGCAAGACAAACAACAAAAAAAAGCAGCTGGATGGCTACAGCTCTGTTTTACGTAAAGAGTGTCAGTCCGGGTCCTTATCCACCAGCAAGTCAGAAACACAAGGATGAAGGAGAGAAACATGGAATACAATGCTTTAGCACCCAACTCATGTGGCTGAAATAGTCCACCCATGTAACTGTTGATGGACCGACCTGAGTACGAACCATTCTGATTGAATCAGACGAATTAAATCACCACTACCTACCAGTTGTTCAGGCCCAGCCCTGAAACAAACAACCCCGACCCTGAAGCGACTGGTACTCTGAGGCATGCCGAGCCTCGAGAGACCGGTCTGCAGTACCGACGTCATTGTTTCCTTTCAAAACAAACATACACACAAAGAAAAACAGAAAAAACCAAAAAACAAAAGCGATTCTCCTCCTTCAATAAAAAAGGAACCAAAGAAAAACTTGGCAAGAACTTCATTATTATGAACGAAAAACAAGAAAAAAAGAAAAAAGAAGGAAAAAAACATATTCAAGAGCTCTCCGCGCGGTGAGAGAGAGAGAGAGAGAGAGAGAGAGAGAGAGAGAGAGAGAGAGAGAGAGAGAGAGAGAGAGAGAGAGAGAGAGAGAGAGAGAGAGAGA